CGACCTGAAAAAATTCTGGGATTCTTATCAAAGTCTCTGGTATATTATTCAATCGTTAAATCAAATGCTTCAAACTTTTTTCAGTCAAGATAAAAATTTGTTCCGAAGACATACAAGAGTGAAATTTCACTTGGGTCATTAATGACCCAGACTGTGTGGGGAGAGTTAATTTTGCAGGGTCCAAGAGCAATTTACTTTATTTCGGTAGATTAGAGTAAAGAAACCTTCCTTAAATCTTTTTTAAAATTGCTGAAATCTTTTTTGAAAAATTGTTGCTTGTCTTCCAGTGCACAGTGTTTCCAAATTTTTAGGTAATAATGCAGTTCACAATTATTTAATAGAATGTCACTTTTCTGTCACAAAACAGTCAGAAAAGAAAAGGTCTCACTATACTGATTCACAAATTGTGTAAATCTTCGAAAGATTTCGTTTCTCAGTTATTCTTTTATCACAGAATAGTCAAGAAAGGAAAGGTTTCATACCGATTTACAAATTGCATAATTCTTTAATAAATTCTGTTTTCCAGTAGGAACGTTTGAACGTATTAACAAGATGTTCGCGTGCAATTTGCGTAATTACCAAAATTAACGGCACAAAAGTAGGAGAATTGTAATTATCAAAAACGTTCCTTTGTTTTCTGTATTCAAAGTAACAGGCGCGGCGTCGTAACCAAGGATGCAGGTAATGTACACTAAAGGAAACTTATGTACCGGAGGATTTGCGCTTTGCTTGGGTAAACTCCGAGTTGTCTTGGTGGTAGACTAAGCTTCTGCTTCCATATTTCGTCTTTTTGTATGTTTTATGTGGATAGAAGGCAATGTTTGCAGCGCGGCTGTAAACAACTTAAGATCTGAGCCCTTCTAAGACTACTGGATAACCGGATCTGTCAAACAAAGACCTTAGCCTGAGCTTTTTGCCGGTGAACTTCTTCCCCCTTCGCGTTTATTATGAAAAACTCGTAGAAAAATTGTTCGGATTGTGTCCGACATTTCAGTCGACTTTCCTTTCACATCTTTTACTCCGCCTCGTGCTAAAATCTACTATTTTTGAATGGGTTCCTTCATCGTGATATATTTCTTATATTAGCTTAGCCGACACGGCTTTCCGAGAAAAATCGAGAACCATTCTTTCCGTAACGTATACTGTCTTAGGTGTTGAGCGAGCACTGACATAAAAATATCGCCAGATCATTTAAATGTTATATGTAGGTGTATTAAGTGAGAAACCGTGAGAGATTGCCTCAATTTTCTGCAAGTTAGGAACGTCGTGTTAAAAATATTTCAAAAATGAATATCAGTCTGAAAGTTTTCAAATCACATCGGAAGGGTTTCGAAATTAGAAGAATTCAACTTTCGTTGTATCGAGCAAATGCAAGTGTCACGAGAAAAAATCGAAAATTTTTCGCAAATCTAGTTCGTTCCGCTTGTGTGTCCAACAGGTATCACTGGTCAAAGGAAAAACAGAGGTCAGTGTACGCGAGCGCCTCGCGATTGTTCCGACTGCGCGATACATCGTAACGCGGTTTTATCGTCCGGTGAAAAAGAAAAAAAAAAAAAAATGGAAAGAAACTGACGATAAACGAGGCTGACGTGCATCGATCGAAGCGAAACGCACGCGTCGCTCGAGCGGCGAACGATTAAATCGTAGGCTCCCGAGCGTTTCAAGCTCGTGCCGCGTGCACAGAGGAAATCGCGTCACGAACAGAATCGCTGCCTAGCCCACCCGGTGTACGAGTACGCGTGCGAATAAATATTTCGACGGTCGAACTTTATTAAATTATGCATGCAACGTGCAATGCTGCACCGTGCGTGGGTTTGCCCTGGGCAGCAGCGTAATGAACCCCCTTGCGCGAGAACGATTGCGATAACTCGGAACGAAGATAGTCGTCGAACGGTAATAGTTAGATTCGAGAGTTGCGTGCAAATCTTTCTCGGTTCAACGGAACTCAACTCGACAAACAATGTTTCAATTATTTATGTAGGAAACACCGTATTACAATACTTTATCAATTTCTCTTGTTGCTTGCACGGATATCGGAATCTTTACAAATGGGGAAAGAGCTTGCTGATCCTTTTCCTTGCTTCGTCATGCACGAAATACATTAGTTCGACCGCTATCGTGTACGAAATCGAGAACAATAGCTGACTAAGCAACATGATACATGGAACAGATGTACTGATTGATTTGGGAAATACATTATCATGCACCTTTTCCGATCTTCCTCGATAAGTACAGGAAAGATAGTGTTCAAATTGTAAAGCTTCGTCTACACTATACAGAGTGTACGGTAACAGTTGGTAAAAATTTAAGGGGCGATTCTACAAGCTGGAATAAGAAGAAAATGAAGAATAGAAAAATTGAGTTTGAAGCTTCGTTTTTTCGTTATTGACAATTAAAAATATCCCTGTAATCGAGCAAACCTCCCTATGCCAACGTGGCTGCTGTAAGGAGGTTTGTCCTGTTACAGGGATATTTTTAATTGTCAATAACTAAAAAACGAAGCATAAGTCGCAATTTTTTTATTCCTGATTTTCTTCTTATTCTGGCTTGTAGAATCACCCCTGAATTTTTCTATCACCTAAACACCTTGTATAACGTAACACATTTAGAGATAGGTGAATGAAAAAAGGGGTATGAAATGTGAGCAAACAGTGGTCCGTATTCAGAGGTTTTTTAGGCGAGGGCTAAATTTAGAACGCGACATTCACGGGCCTCCTATTAAAAAATTCACTTGCCACCGTTTTGAAATCGCATTCCGAATGTAATCACCGGTGAAAAATGGTTCAAATTAAAAGACCGCTCACGGGGTTAATAACGCGTCTCGGGTAAAAGTTAACGAGGATCATTAGAACGTATAATAAACTTGACCCATCTTTGTATCACAGTGCCCAGAGAGGCACAATTATATTCATTCTTCGCGTGATATATTTAAATTGCATTGTGCTCGGCCGCCGGACAATCGCGGAAACTAGATGAGATATAGCTAAAGAAAACTAGCGAGGCCCATCGAGATTCGCGATGCTGAGGAGAATAATGAAATCCCTCCGGAACCGTTTCGCGCTAAATGACAGCGTCAAATTAAGACTAAATTTCATAATCAACGACTTTCATTCAAATTTTAGAAAACCGATAAATGGACAATGTTAGTTTTTCCTTATTTAATCTCTCTCTTTAAATATTAACACGTCAGATTGTACGATTTTAATATTTATGCTTCGTTGAAACGATTTCAAGCTTCGTAGATCATCAAACACAATTCAGGGAAAATATTACCCGAGGAGAAGATCGTTTAAAAATATAAAAGGTTTGCACGAACTGATTATATTTTCTTTGAAAAATGAAAGAGCAGCGTACGGTATCGTTCGAGCAGCTGGGTTTTGCTTGGACAGCTAACCAACGAGATGTTTCAACTTTTACTAAGAGTAAATTGTTATTAAGAAAGTTCGTAACTTGTCATTTTAACGTGACAACTCTGGAACGTTCCCCCCATCGAGGCGAGAAGAAGAGGAAAGTTAAAGATATATCGTCGATAACAATAGCGTAGAGGAGCTTGTCCCTCGTTCTTCCTTTTTTCCACCGTGCTCGAAGCTAGAGTTACCCAAGAACTATTTGAACTTCTCGAAATTAAATTAGGATGTCTTTGAAGCGCAGCGTCGGCAAGGAAGCTTCGAGAAGGTCGAATAGCAAAGCACGGAAACGTTCTGGATGAACGCGAAGGATAATTCCGTTTTTTAACGGGACAGAAAGAAAGGAAGGATGTATATATATGAATTTCGTCTCGTCCTGACGAAATTTTCTAGGTCCAGACTTTCTCAAATTTCGCGCTGAAATTAAACGGCTATTTAAATTCTCTTTCACGTTTGTACTTTTACGGTAATTAAACCAGTATTTTCCCAAGTTTAAGTAGCACGGATATGTTCGTTTTAAAGTCATCCTACAGTTTCACAACTGACATGACGCTTGAACCAAACAGATAACTCAAGTAGGTACATATTATGTTATTATACTATTATTATGTATACAGATATTGTATAATGGTATTTTTTTCCACGCGGTCACCCATCTTAACATTAGTCACGAGGAACGCAGCTTTACCTGGGAAGCTACTGACGAGTCACCCTACCCAGTCCCCACTTCTCCCAAGACAAAAAAAACTACATTCTTATATTATTTAAAGTTAGAATAATTATAGTAAATTTACTACAGTCATTTGACATAAAATAATTACTCCAAAGTGACACGGCGTTATAAAGGGTTAAATAAAAATCTACAATTCAATCGAAATGTTATAGGATCGAATAAAAAGCCAGAATAAATTCAATCATTTCGACGAACCACTTTTGCGTGCTATTTTAAACACAATAAGACAATTTAAAACTTATTATAATATAATGGAATTAATCGTAAATTAAAGCATCGAGTGACACTCAAGTTTGTACACGCTATTTAACGATTTTCAAAGCTAAGCCGTACTTCATGTGACCCTGGCCGAAGCTTCGAGCCCTTACTTTCTCAGATTCCTGTCTATTCGCTCATCGATATTCCCGAAAACGTAAACTTCGACTTCGATTTTACGACCTCGCTATATTTCTTCCACCGACCATAAATCCTCCCAACGTACTTTCTTCGAAAAAATATAAATCTCCCACCGAAGCAACTTTCCTTCCACCAAAACTCCACCCGAGAAACCAACCACACGCTGAACACCGTCAACGTGTGCGCGAATTCAAACGTCGCGGCGGGAAATTTGACAGGGTTGGAACGTGAAACAGGTTGACCGGGGGTGGGAAAAAGCGCGAACCACGGTTCTGTAAAAACGACGAGGACGTCCAGGCCAGAGCGGCGCGGAATTTCTTACAATTCGCATCAAAGCTCCGTAAGTAAGATTAATGGACGGTTGTCGTAACGAGGCGGCGGGTGCTGAGTTCCGAGGGCGGTCGGCAAAAACACCGGCCCGGCCGTATGCTCGCGTTGGAAGACGAAGGATTACGCGGAGGAATTATTACTTATTGGATATTCCATCCGTAATTACCCGCTGGGGAAAGAAACCGAGGAAGAACCGAGAAAGGAAAAAAAGAAACAGAGCGATGCTTCGAGAATTGTAAGTTCACCGTTCGGACAATAGACGGATGAATGCCTGGCGAGATAACGGTTTAAGCGGCGAAGATCGTTGATCCCGTAATTTATCGGAGCACGCTCTGCATTCAACGATAGATTCATCAGTCTAATGAATGCAGTTATTTCGTAACTCTGAATGGAAGGTTCTTTGTTTAAGGAACTCGCTGGAAAGGTACCTAATTGTGAGTGATTCAAAGGTTTTGTTGCAAAGATCGCTGGTGTTCAAGCTGTAATTGGCTGGGCGAATAAGCGGGAGATTTGGGAACGACGATTGATCATTTCTTGACGTGAGCGTGTTAAGAAAGAATTTGTTAAGAATTCCAAACAGAGTAGGTACACGTGATATGTGCACGAGGAAAATGTGAATAAAACTTCGTTGTAATTTCTTTCAATCCTTGTAGATTAAGCGAAAGCTCTTGACGTGGTAAAGAGAAAGAGAGAAATAATTATATTAAATTAATCTAGCACCTGATTAAACTTGTTATTGACAATATTATTTCAGCGGAAGAGGTGGAATTTTGGCTCTCGAAAACGACGAACGAATGAAAGGGCAACGTCGAATCCAAAAGCGACTGATCAACATAAATCGTGGTCCACTTAATTTCCGAGTAAGTGAGCATAAGCAGCCGCGAAAAGGGGGATCGATTTGGGTTGGCGGATTTAAAGGGCGGCAATTACGCGAAGGAGAAGTATCGTCGCTGAAAGGACAGGCTAAACCAAAGGGAAATGGAAAAGGGGGAAATGGATTCCTCCGATTCCCGAGACAACCGCTTTATCCTGCATCCAGCTGTCAATCGATCGACGCCACGGTGGATTTACTTTCTTTTCGAAAGTTCTTCGGAACGCTGCTTTCAGCTCGAAGCGTCCGTGGTTTGGAACGTTCCACACTTGGGGGATGCCAAATTGAAAAATGGAAATTTTGACCTCAAAGACGCACCTCGTTCTGGCCGTCCAGTTGAGTTCGATGAAGAGCGATTAAACCAACTTTTGCACGAAAATTCGCGTCAAACGACAAGGGAACTGGCAGAGAAAATGGAATGCTCCCACACTGCTATAGAGAAGCATCTTCACTCGATGGGAAAGGTTCAGAAGTGTGGAGCATGGGTTCCGCATGCTTTAAGTGACAACAACAAAAATCAACGCGCCACAATCTCCGTTGGTTGTCAAAATTTCCATTTTTGAACTTGGCATACCAATCACGAGCGGTTCTTTCAGCTATGGCACCCTCTCCATAGACAGCACAAATGTCGCGAGCAGCTTTTGCGGCCTTAGAACGTTGATTAAAAGCAAAAAGAAGGAGGTGTCGAAAATGCTCATTTCTCTCAACTTGACATTCCATTGTTGATTAAAAGCAAAAAGAAGGTGTCGAAAATGCTCATTTCTCTCAACTTGACATTCCATTTTAATGATCTGAAAATTAACAGAAATTAACATAAATTAACTCGAACACAGAAGATTCCGGTAGAACAAAACATCCTCTTTCGAATGATTTCAAACATTATGCCAAAAACATTTAATCACATGCGGAATGTTAAAATTTTAAAAAACGGCGGGAACTTAGTTGCCAGCCCAATAAAATGCTTCGAAATTTGAACAAACGTGAGAAAATTAACGAGACACGTTCCAATTTATCGCTTGAGTAGTGAAATTATTAGAGTAAATTTTGAGATTCTGTGTAAATTGTATCGTAATTACATGCTAAAAAAAAAATATTGTGAAAGAATATTGTAACAAAGGAGGAACTGTTTGTACCAATAAAGCTGTAACAAAAATCCTCATTTCTTATTAATAACCATTCTAAACATACAGCGTATTATTCCCCGTGGCCTGAAAAAGCCGCAGCCCGAACAATAAAAAAAGAATCTTTATTTTCATCAACGTCAAATCTGTCCTCGTTAACATCAAACGCTATATCCCTTAACATTCCACGACCAGCAAATTACCTCTTTAAAGCCCCAAGAAAAAAAAGACCAGTGTAACGAGCCGAGCGTGGCTGAAAGGTCCAAGGATTCAGCGGCACCGTAACATTCGCGAACAGTCGAATGGGTTTCAGTAATTCGACGAACGATGTCACTGATTTCGAACAATGAACGTTTGTTCCCAAACGTTTCGCATTCTCCCTCTCTCTCCTCTCTCTCTCTCTATTCTCTCCTTTCCATTCCACGCCACCCTCTCTTTTTTTAATACGAATATTCATTCGAGATTCATTACCTAAAAGCCCGGAGGTTGACACACTGAACTGATTCGACGCCCATTTAAACGCGCTATGCGCATTCGTTTCTCTCGATATACCGCGTATTTTACGCGGCACGGCGCCGCACTCTCTCGATATTTGTTTCTCTTCTCTCATCCAGGAGGGAGAAAAGGAGAAAAAAATACACGTACGCCGCCTCCGTATCGATTGCGATACGCAGTAGAATCCACGTTCAACCCTCGTTGCATCCCTCGTTTCAACCTATCCGCGAAAGGTTCAAGTTTACTTACACAAGCATCTCGCGTGGAAATCAATTTCACCCGCGCCGCGATCTTACTTTCGTTGGATTACGTTCTCATCGGCGAGCTTTCGACTTGAAAAATCGATCGCGAACGTAGCGTTCCCATTGGAGATCAAATTGTTATATACGAGTTCTGAACTTCGGATTTGGTCAATGTCAGCTGGTTGCTCTTATTCTAGGAAGATAGTCTTCGAATGAACGATAGGAAGGGAGTTTGAAGGTGTTCCATAGAACAAGTTAGTTTTCGAATATTTTTGGTGTGTTCTAAATCTAATAACTCTTCAAATCCTCACCGATTGAGACATTCTGAATGTCATCGATAGTTTGACCATTTGATAAAAAAAATGGCGAAAATTCGTGAAAAATTCTCAACCCTTAACCTCTTGCGCTAGCAGCCAATTCACAGATGAGCTGCACCTTGAAATGAGGAGCAAAATGTTTTGTCCACTTTACACAGATATGCACACTAATTTTGTGCTGAGTGATGCAAAACAATCTGGGATACGTAATGCAACAAGACATTGCTCGCATTCCCAGGTAGTTTCACTGCGTTTTTTGTTTCTTGCACATACTCTATATCCTCTTTCCTTACAAAATTAAACGTAAGCACCAAAAAGTGCCACAGCCACTAAATAAAAAGGAATTTTTTTCTCTTAAGTGAAAAAGAAGACGTGTCTAAAACGTCGTTGGCAATTCTTGGACAAAAACATCTCGACGCGTGTGGCACGTCGTTCCAGCGCAAGAGGTTAACCCTACTGTCTCACACCTTACATATCACCGCAAGCTAAAAATCTCTCAAAACTGCTCTTGCTCGCAGTGTCTTGCTACCGTGCTTCCATCAAAAGAGAAAGACATCCAAAAGAAAAAGAGGAGGACGAAAGAGAAACTTCAACTTCAGAAGAGCTCTTTAATATCCCACGACGCCGGTCGGCCAAGTCAAGCAACTCTCCTCGAAGTCTCCGGCCGGAGCGTCGAGCTCGTCGTTACATCGCTTACCATGCATAAGTCCGGAATCCTCTTATAGCGACGATAAAAAGATTTTCGCGGTAAGTTCGCGGGATCGTGCTCGTAAGCACTTTATATTTTCACGGTTAAGGATCGATATAAGCGGGCCACAAGGGGGTGCGGAAGGAGGAGGAGTAACGTTTCGCGACCATCCTAGTGAAACAGGCGTGCGCTATAGTCATTGAAGTAGCGTTGCTTCGGGGCTCGAGTAAATTAGTTTAGTTTATAATTTCCACACACCGCCGTGGCGCTCATGAGAATGAATGGGCGGCTGTTTCGGCGTCAGACTGGCGTCGTCCCGACGCTAAGCGACGCCCGACGTCGCTGACGCATGTATGTGCAGCCGGTAAGTTCCACGGAGTTATGGGTGTATTATGCCACTGACACGCTACCTTATTAGGTTACTCGCGACCCGAACGCGGGAATACGGCCAAAGGGAGCGGAACAGAGGGAATAAGCGGTGGGAATCGTTACGCTTTTTCCACGGCGGATGCCTCGTGAACATTTCCGCCCGTGCACTTTGCCGCATTTCGCCCATTAAGCGACGAATTTTCTCCCGGAAAGAAACGTCCGGGCGAAATATTGTGAAATACGCTGGAAATAGGTGTAATCTGCTGGGAGAGATGTGTTGCCGTAATTCGAAGAAGCAATTGCTAATTGGTGAATGGTTATTTTTGAAGGGAACGTGTATTGTGAAATTATTCGGAGGATTTTAGAGGTTTTGAGAAGTTTCTCGATGGTAAGTAGCTTGCTATGAGAAAGTTTAGTGAATTATGTATACTATATGAATACTGGCAAATGTAGATGCTTTTTTTCATGCGATTTAACAGTTTGTCCTGAGCGAGACAGGGGCAGTGCGTTAAATAACGAACAGTTTAACTCGTGAGAGGCTTTTAGGAAGACAGTTATTATTATCAGAACTGTGACGCAGGGTTATGTACACTGTGCTTTAAAAATAATCACACTCGACGTAATTATTAAAAAGTTACGTGTGAAATATGAATTTTTTCACTCTAATTCGTAATTATATTAGACTGTCAAAGGGTCAAAGGTTAGAATAGGATATCGTACAATTTTATCGGTAAATAATGATTAATACTGAATGAAATTGCACTCACCCGTGATAAGCTAGAAAAGACAACAAGAAGAAGATACAAGCAAGTACGTCTGCTCGTCCTACGATGCCAGTCACCTGAAACAAAAACAAATACCACAATAAGTCAATGGTCAACTTCAAGAGGTAGCAATAAAGTAACCAAAAATTCACTTATTCAATCCATATTAATGTTAAACAGCGCATTTTATTAAAATAAACTTCTAAAGTACAAGTGTCACTCCTAAAATCCCAGAAAAATACTATTCTTCCCAACGATTAAGAATTAACTCCCTCAATGGTCGAATCGTTTCACCCCGCTGCAGCTGATGTCAATAGAGATACAAATTCCCGTGGAAATCTGGAACGATCAGCTTAACGAGGAGAGATTACACGTAGAGAACGAAGAACCGCCTGGTCCCTGACACTTTGAACGGTGAAACGACGAAAGGGTACAATGGCGATGCGAAGATCCTTTCGAGATGTACGGGCGGGTGGTAAAATGAAATTGGATTTAGCGGTGTAAAACGAGGCGGTCGCAGCAGAAAGCGAGGGTGAAAGCCAACGACGATCTCTTTCACGACAGACGCGATGACGGACACGGGCCACGTGAGCCAAAGGAGCAGACGAATTGAAAGAGAAGAGAAGAGAGTCTGGCCAAGTTATTGACAGCCCGCGCCACCAGTGAATAACCGAGCTTCTCGAAGGATCACCCTTCGTGAACCAACGACTCGTGTGTGCCAAGATTCCCTCGAAGATCGCCTCAAACTATAGAAGACTTGTGTATGTGCCACCTCTTCCCAACCCCTTTTCCTTTATTCTTCTTCTTTGTTCCATTCTCTCTCGCCGCTCCCGTTTCATTCTCTTCCACTCGAGATTGGAGAGCAGGTGCGCCTTGGAAATTCACGGACATCGTCCATTACCAGGGAGATCGGTCAACCGTTCCTAACGAATTAACACTCGGGATCTCCGCGCTCACGGAGGACGATTGAAATGAGAAATTGAAGGTCCCTTTTAATTCGGAACTTTCCGGAGTAGTCTCGTTAAACGAGATCACTTTCGCGAAC